TGTATTTTCTTTCCTTAAAATACTTCAGGCCAGGCACCATGGCTCACGCCTGTCATCCTAACACTTTGGGAGGCCCAAGTGGGGAGATTACTTGAGCCCAGGAGTTCAAGACCAGCTTGGGCAACAGAGGGAGACCTCATCTCTACAGTAAAATTTAAAACTTAGCCAGGCATGGTGGTGCACACGTGTAGTCCCAGTGACTCTGGAGGCTGAGTCCAGGAAGTCAAGGTTACAGTGAGCCCTGATTGTGCCACTGCACACACCCGTGACCCACAGCTCCTCCTCATTCTGGTGGAGGAGCACTTGGGGTGGAGCACCAGGCCTGCTGCCCCAGGGCTGTGCTCACACCAGTGGCTTTACTACAGTCCTCAAGCTCTGGAGACAGGTGGGTGTGCTCGTGGGGGCAGGAGGAGGGGCGGTGAGAAAAGACCCATAACAGTTCATCGCTGTTCTCTGCGACAGCCTCTCCTGGGTCCATTGGAAATTTTTTTTAATCCAAGACTTCGTTTATTTCTTTTAATAGAAATAACCTCAAGTCCTAAAAAAAAAAGAGGGGGGTGTTTTTAGAAAACGACACTGTGGCTTCATTCGAATTTTACATGGCTTTGCTGCTGACTTGAGCACACAAAACAGATGACTGACAATGAACTGGAGGACACAATTCAAACTTTTATTTGGCAATAAGTTCAATGTCACAGAATGCAAAATAATCGACATTTAGAATAAATAGCAAATTCACATTCCGAATAAATAGTAAGTCTTCTGATTTACACTAATCATGCCTGATATACAGGCACAATTTGTCATCTACTAAACAATTAAAAACAGCCTCCTAGATCAGAGTTGATGCTCACAGGACTAGCAAAGCACAGGAGCGCGGTGGAGGCCAGGATCCCCGAAAGCCGATGCTGAGGTGGGGACTGGCATGCAGGAAGGTCCCTGGAGGCCTGCTGCAGGCTGGCCAGGTGCAAGCCTGGCAGGGGGTGCAGCCACAGCGAGGTCACTGACCCCAGGGAGGCTTTGCAGCTGGGACAGCCCTACAGGGTTTCCCAAGTCAGAGTGGGGGATCCAGGCCTTTGAACCTCAGAGGGAGCAGTCAGGGGTCATAGGCAGGAAGAAGGGGTGTCACACGCGGCAGGCAGGGCTCTTTAGCAGGGGAACCCCCAAAGAGGGCTGCCACCACCAGCAGCATTCCCTACAGGTGGGAGGAAGTCCTCTAGCCTGGAAAGGTCCTCTGGGCAGCAAAGGCAGCACTCAAGACTAGCACGCCTACGAGCAAATGCAACAAGAGAGATAATTCCACTAGTGCTCGAGCCTGGCAGCTCTGGTATGCTCACTAGCCACACAGCAAACACGCCCAGAGAATGGCCCATAAGGGCATGTGGCACACACCCCCAGAGCCTCCTCTCTGCACCCCAGCTAGGAGGTTATTCGTCTGTGCACTCTCAGCAGGGAGTTTTGCTGTGGCCACCAACACAATCCTTCATTGCAGGGTCCAGCGAGCCACAGCCTGGGGGCCAGATCCAGCCCCGGCCCGTTTTGGGAAACCGAGTCACCATGAGCAGCGGCAGCAGCGAACAGCTCACAGAGTCGAAACTACTTTCTATCCGACCCTTTGCAGGGAGAGCTTGCCCACCCCAGAGGAACTTCCCTCCCTTAACCAGAGTCAAAGTTTAGCTGAACTTTGCTACAGGCTCCCAAATGCTAAGGGGGAAAAAAAACTGGTACAAAAGGAAATTTTTTAAAAAACAACAAAACAAAAAAATAACAAAAAACAAAAACACATGTTCTCACTCATAAACGGACCCTGAACAATTACCAGTAACACTATAAGAAAGAGATTGGCAACAGTGGGAAACTGCTGGGGGGTCGGGGGAGGGAACAAAACAAAACAAAAGGAAATCAGTCTTAAGAGGGCAAGACACAGGCTCTCGCTAGTTGAATGGAGTTATAAGGAACCCTGCTCTGGCCAAATTTAGTCTCAGGGCCTCCTAGACAAGAGGCCCCAAGTGGTCGCTGGCAGCAAATGACCATTCAGAGAAGGGGAATTCAGTTCCAATATTCAGCGCACTCTGGCTTAAAAGGCCTTTCTGGAGAGAGGTGAGAAGAAAGCCACTTCGTTCACTCAAAGCTGAATCAGCTGGGAGGCAAGATGACGCTTCATTTTTCTTTTGCAATCATGAAGAGGGCCAGTGCGTTCAAAGCAACTGGGAATTTATCTGAGATGGGCCCAATCAGGAGCAGGTGGTTACATGGTATTAATGGTGACAGCAGAACATGGAATGAGTAGTAACATTTTTTAAAAATTAACAAGACAGGGAATATGCTGGGAGGAGAGTGGGAGCTCTCTGTCAAGCACCTAAAACACCTTAAAAGCCCGGTTTCAGGCATCAAAGCAACAGTGGGAAAAATCAGCATGCGAGTTCCTTCCGAGGGGACCAACCTTCCGAGGGGACCAACCTGCCGTGGGTGCCGGGAGCGCTGCTGGACGTCGCATTTCTCACTCAGAATTTTTTTCACATAATTCTTAGAAAATCAGTCTTAGCAATGTTGAAAACAGTAATGTTTAGAATGTTCAAACTAATCTTCTTCTGTTTGCTTTACAAATGGGTTCTTTAAACGGCAGAAAACACATTTCCTTCCCTGGAATGATGAATGCTTCCATCAGCATGCACACCAAGGGAACACATGTTCAGCGCCTGTGCTGGAGCCCAGCTGAGAGGACGGGACAGGCGAAAACCCGTCTTGGTTGAGCATGGACAAGGATAAATGATGAAGAGGGAAATGCCTCTGTCTTCCACACAGAGATGGCCATGCTGAGCCCGTGACCACCAGGGTGTGGGTCTGCAGTCCACCCGGTGCATAGTCAGTGGGCCCTGGTGCACCAGGACTGTCACACAGCAGACCTCAACACTGCCGAGTCCGATGGCCCAGAGACCAACACCCTCCTAAATGGGAATTGGTTATAAAATTCAACATTCATACCCAGAAAACCTATTTCTCCCCAAGATTTAGGCCACCTAACCTAACATCTATGAAAGCAGGTTTTAAAAAAAGTTCTACTTCATTCTTGAGTAAACAAAACACCCTGTAACTGGCACCTCGTAGACAGTCAATGAATATCTAATTTTAAGCAATATCTACTTCTTCATTCTGCTTCTCCAAGGCAGAAACTCGGAGCCAAGAGCACCTGTGCTTCCTTTAGGCCCCAACACTAGCAGCTCTGGGCATCACCTGCACCTGTGAAGTGCCAGCCTCCAATACACTCTGATGTTGAAAACACCTAGGAGCACACAAAAAAACAAAATCCTTGCCCCATTCCAAAAAAGGAACAAAGTACTGTGCCCGACTGTTTATAGTGAAATGCAGATGAGGAGAAGAAAAGAGCCTAATCTGGTCTACAGGGTCACCTTCGCCATTACAGCCAAACACAGCAAATGTCACAAGTCAAATCCCAGGACATCACGTGGCACTACAAAGGATGCTCTGTAACTCGGCTAATGCTTGCAATTTGGCAGTGGTGGTCTATGGCATGCCAAGCTGGCATGTCATCCACAGCTGGTGACAATACATCTATTACAGTAAAAACGCGAGGCGAGCAAGCACTCCACAAACCCCCTCCTGTTCCCACCATTCTTCAGATTTAAGAATACCCACCACATGACTGAAGAAGCTGGAAAAGAGTTTTAGCAATACCAGGCCAGGCTGACGGGAACAGAAGTGCTGATACAGCATATGCAATTAAAATAGCATTCGCAGCACCCTAACTAGTGACAGCAGCCATTCCAACAGCACTAGAGAGGGCAGAAAATATAGACTTTATGCTGAAAATACTGTAAATGAAGATATAATAAATAACTCTGCCCTCTGAAAAAAGAATACACACTACTTGCATTGCCTTAGAAAGAAATGAAGAAAGTTCAGTTAACTAGGTTACCTCTAACTCTTGGCTTCAATGTCCTCCATCCTCTCACCCCAGACACCTCGAAATAACCCCCCACACTCCAAAACAGAAACAAGCAGGCAGGAAGGACAACTAAGGGTAGGAGAGGGCTGGAGGTGGCTGAGCTGCACGGCCACCTACCTCCTCCCCGTCAAAAATCCAACACCTCTCCTCGGCTGACAGTTCCTTAGAAAGAAGCCGGCATCTTGTTTCCCTCCAGCCAAGGCCTGTTCCTGGTAATGCACCTGGTAATCCTGTTTTAACAGGATTCCAACTCAACCCAGTGGGTGGCGAGGCATTTCATTACAAGGATGCCTTTTCCGGCTCCCCTTCTTTCTCCAGTGAGCACGTTCAGCCAACACTCAGTGGCGTCTCTGGGTTGAACATCCCCCTGGGGCCTACTGCAAAGGCTTTGGTTCTCCAAACCCACTAACTACAAAAGACGGTTCTGCTGGCAGAAAGCGGTCTTAACGAGAGCCCTCATCTCCTCACCCTCCTTCCTTGTGAAGAGTGAACCCCCCAGCCATGGGATGGAGTGCAGAAAGCATGCACTGAGGACAGAGGGTTGAGGAGTGGCAACCTCTCCCATCAGTCCTTCCAGAAAAGCCGAGTTCTCACTGACACAACGTGCCAGCGCCCTAAGGCCAAAGCGTTAGTACCAAGAGACGTGGGAGCAGGCTGCTGCGTGGAGACCAGCTCTGCTACTCATGGCAGAATGGCGCCACCATGGGCCTCCTGTGAGCAGTTCATCTCTGCACATCACTGTCCCCTGAAGTCCCAATGCACTACCCAGACGTGTACAGGAAAAGTTCCATGGAGAAGCCAAGAATCCTTTCCAAAGTTGGCCGGCTGGAATATGGAGGTGGCATCGCGTGGTCTCACCTGTCCCAGAAAAACTGACTTCAGTTCCAGGACCTCAGTACACAAAGGAGGAATCAAAGCTTCACTGTGACACTCGCTCTGCAGTCCCAGGGATAGGAGGGCCAGCCGGCAGGCTGTGCTCCTGCCTTAACAGCCGGTGAGTAGGGTTCCTCGCAAGGTACAAGGTACACATCAGAGGCATGTCTGCGTCCTTTCCAAAAGCAACACTCAGACCGCATGCCAACCCCGTCGTGCCGCCGGATCTGGGCGGCCCGGTTTCTGCCTCTTCCCCCAGGGCCCTCGGCTACTTGGCCTGGGCCTCCTGCAGGAGAGGGGGCCCGAAGGCCGAGGGCCTGTCGGACCACGCGGGCAGTTCGTGCTGCAGCGGAGTCCTGCGGGGGTAGAAGGTGTGGCTGACGTCGTAGTTCAGGAGGCAGCTCAGAGACGCCATGTAGATGTCTGCGAAGCGTGACAGGCGCCGCAGGAAGTAGGTGGGGTTCTGGTCCGTGCGGAACAAGCTGCCAAACTGGGCGTTGAAGAAGCCTTTGGTCATTTCTCTGAAAAAGCAATAAAAAAAGCAACAGGGAATGATTTGAAAAGGTTTGTTTTAAACAGTTAAAAGCAAAATCACTTTAATAAAAGGACTTATCTAAGAAAAAAATGAGCCTACAGCTGCCCAACTTCTCGTGGAGAAGACAGTCTGCCCATCCATCCAGCAAGAGGACCCGGCCCTCACTCCCAGCTATCTCAAGGCTCCACCACGCTGCAGGCGTCTCTAAAGACCCACTCCCTCCCCTAAACCAAAACAATGGCACTCAGAGGGACGTACTCGGGACACAAACTGTTCTCAAAGGCTCCACACGTCCCATCAACAGGAGGGATCGAGACCCCCCCTTTTTAAGGGGTTATATGAGAACTGAGTACATAAGAGACATAAAAGCACATTGCAAACTCCCAAGTGCTCTGATGACTGAGGAAGTGAGGACTGTTTCACGGTGAGGGAGGTCTCTCCACCCGCTAGCCTCAAGGCCTCCCGCCTCCTGGAAGCTGAGGCTGCTCACCCACCCAGGGCCCTGAGCCCCCGCAGAGACCCTACAAGCATGTAACATCAACATCCTCACCACACATATGTGGGGGAGCACACCCTGATGGCTGGGACCCCTAGACACAGAATATCCCAGCAAAATGCGCAAATGTCATTTGAATGTTGATAAATCAGTTACAAACACAGCACAAAATAGAATCATTCACACAACTGTGGGATAAAAATCACTCGTTGGCAGTAGTTAGAATACGGCTTCATTCTTAAGTTAGAATAAGACAGCCAACACTCTGGGGGGCGGGGGGAAGGACTGAATGCACACAGCCTCGGCTTGTGCAAGCCCTGAGGAAGGGATGCAGTGTCCCTGCTCCACACCATGTGCCCCTCCCTTTCCTCCACACCCTCAAGTCAGGCTGCCAGAACTTGGCAGCAACCACTGTTCCCAGACCCCAGGGAGGGCTGTGCCAGGGGGTTGGGTGAGACCAAGCACAAGAGTAGGAATGTTTGCGCACAGTGTCCACACAGAAAGCATCCTTCTGGGGATGCATGACTGCCATCAATGGCTCCCTTAAGACACACACCCGCCAGACTTTTCTGCCAGCAGGCAGGCCTTCCTTACTCATAAAGGCCCTGCTTACTGAGTGTGCACATTCCTGAAATAGCTCCGGTTAGAAACAAGCATAAGGGTTGTGGGACCCTAAGAATCCATCGTGGGCTTGGAGCCTAACTCCAGTGCCATCCCAATGGCCACACTGTGCTGCCAGCATTACCAACGACAGGGGCAGCACCTGCCAGACAGGAAGGTGGTGTGCAGGAAGGGGAACTGAGAAGGAAAAGCTCCTCCTCTCACGGCCCTCAGTGGCAAGGGCGGAGGTCGACAGAGGTGACAGTGCCCTCAAGGAAATGTCCCAGTTACTAACAGCAGGTGGCTGACTCTGGATCCTGCAGGAGCTACCTCGGGCAGCCCGGGGGGTAGGAAGGCTGAGCACAAGGCATGGGGTCCCCCGCCCCCACCCCTCGCACCATCATCGAGCAGGCCGCCTTTACCTCATCTGCTTCCTCTCCTTCTTCCACTCCTGCAGGACCAGCTGTGACTCAGCGTCTCTGTGCACCTGCAGGACACGAGCCAGTTATCACGACAGTTTCGGTTTCACATTAACTCGTTAGGCAACGAGAGTTTGTAATGGGCAACTTTTTCTTGGAGAAATGTAACTGTTTTAAGTCTCAGAGGCAGGCACTTGCATGAAATAATACATTTTCAGACTTCCCAGCAGAAATCCTGCCTTCTTCACTTAAAAAAAAGTTTTAAATATCCAATATTAGAAATGCAGTTTAACAAACTAAGATGAGCTACCGTTAAGCTATTAAACTATGACTATGTGCAAACATAATGCATATGCAGCCATATAAAATACATTAGTATAACATGTATGTCATGTGTGGTATGTACATTACACATATGCATTACATATATAAACACTGAACACATACTATCTATTATACATACTATATAGGTGTGCACAAACATATAGCAGTTAAGTGAATAGCATGTATACCCATTAATTGCAAACGTGTGAAAATATGCACAGGTATCTGAAAATTACCATAAAAACCTTTAATCCGTGCAAGGGCAGTAGGATTATAAATAGTTTTAATTTTTTTCTTTAATATTGTATGATCTTTATTTTAGTGTGCCTCAATGAGAAGGAAAAGAAGAGAATTTTCTGGTGGGCCAAATGCAAGCAAAAGGCAAAAAAAAAAGCCAACTGCCCGCAACCTAACAGAGTCTCCCAAGTCTCTCTCCAAGGTTCCTGTCACTGCAGAGAAACACTGACACCAGGATCAGAGAAGCACATGACTGCAGGGAACAGGTGGGCTCCCTGCAACTCGTGACCACAGGGGTGACCGCAGACCCCGGAGGAAAATGCCAAGCAAGCAAACCATCTGCTTTTGACATGGGAGCCAGGAACCTTCTGTTCACCACAGCTGCTCAGCTCCACAGCTCGACTACGAGCGCCAGGCTGCAGAAGGTACATGCAGGGGAGAGAAGAGCCCAGAAGCTCAAGGCCAGGGAAGCACATCCAGGGGAGGGGTGCACAAGCTCCATGCCTTAACCCAGCCTTCCCTCAGGCCTGCCACCTGGCCCCCTGGCTGCTGGCTGAGGTTCCCTCCTGCCTGTCTTCCCGGGAACCCTTCCTGGCACTTCTCTCTCCTAGCAATGAGCTCCCCTCCTGGCTCCTTCCCATCAGCGCTGAAACATGCTCAAGTCTCTTCCATTCAGAAAAGATTTATCCTTCTCCAGCTCTGTCCCCTGCAAGGCCAGACTTCGCAAAACAACCGTTTCTGGTTCCAAAATCCACTTCATACTATTTCACAGAAAGGGACCGTTAACTAGTTAATCTCTCAAGTGAAACCATGCACTGCAGGGTGGGTGGTCGACAAGGGGAAGACAAGCCAGACACCACAGCAGAGGCTGGTCCTGTAGGTACCCGACAGCCATTTTCATGCCCCATGAGCTCATGAGTGGGTTTTCCTTTTTAAATGGTCAGAGAAAAAATCAAAAGAAGAATAATTTCATGACATGTGAAAACTACATGAAAGTCATATTTCAGTGTCCGCCGTAGCTTACTGGGGCCCAGCTACCACGCTTCATTCACACGTTCTCCACTGCTGCTTTTGTGCTGCAGGTACAGCGGCGAACAGCTGCAACAGAGCCTATGACCCACACAGCTTTTCTGGCTCTCTGCAGAAGCTTGTCAACCCCTGATGGAATATGGCCTCTGACTGGCTACCTGGGAAAAGTCTACCAGCACCACTGCTATGAACTGCAACCAAATTCTGGAATGCACTTCAAGGCTGGCTAACAAAATTATCTTTATTTTTTGAAGTCACTTCTTCAAAACCAGAAGTTGTATACGTTCATTTCATTCATTAGAGCTGGTTCCAAATGACACTCAAACCCAGTCTCAGAGGACCAGTTTTTCTCCTCAGAAAATAGTCCAAATAATATGCTACATACTCTGAAAATAATCCCCAGGGAGAAGAGTGCTAGAAACATCTGACACAGGCTCGGTAGAATGACTTATAACTTTCCAGATGAACACTGAGAAGAGGAAGCAAGGGGTGGTGAATGGAAGGCACGGAGGAGTGGCACTTATTTGGGTATTTTTAAATTTCCAGCCACACTCCTCTCTATCCTAGTGAACCTGCCTGACAGAACTCTGTAAGAAGTGTCATAACCCAAGGCAACAGAGCACAGAGGTCAAGGCTCTAGAGCCAGACTGCCTGGGTCCAAGTCCCAGCATCGCCTTTTATCTGAGCAAGTTCTCTTCTCCTCTGTACCTCAGGGTCCTCATCTGTAAAATGGGGCTGACGTTTTCAGGACCTGCTTCAAGGAGGTGTTGTGAGGATGCACCAACAAGCAGACCTTAGGTCTAGAGTACAGTAAGTTCTCACCGTGTCTCTAAATACCTTGGTTCTGCCAGTCACTAACTTTGCGATTCTGAAAAAGTTACCTCACGGCCTCAGCTTTCTCTCCTGCACAGTGAGGGTGGCAATGTCAATGTTAATCCCTTTTTCTTCCTTCCCTCCCCCTACACCTTGGAGAATTAACTTGATAAATCACAGAAATATCTCAGTACTTCCAGTCTCTAAAACACATACTCCTTGATCTTCAACTTTTCATACAGGTCAGAGAAAGGAAAACAAAACAAAAACAACAAAAACTGTTGCCAAAGCTAACATGTAGTGACACTATCTATATGCGGCTGTGTCTGTATACGTGACTGGTTGTCGGGGCCACAGAGGTTTCAGCTCAGGTGAGCAGAGCCTGTGGTTACACCTGAGACCCCAACCAGGAAGCATATCGGGCAGGGCTCGGAGGCAGGAAACTACACATCACAGTCTTGCTCTGTCATCTCCTGACCTCGGACATGGCACTCAACCTTTCAGAAACCCAGTTTCCTTGTTCTGGAATGGAAAAACTGTGGTGACCATGGGGGGCTGCTGTGACAACCAAGTGCATGATGTACATGGAGCGAGCACACAGCACAACACCAGGCACGTACGAGCAACCGTGCATGCTGCAGGACAGAGGCAGGACTCGAAGCTACACTAGCCCTGAATTGACACCTTGTATTTTTAGAAAAGCATCTCACAGCACAGTAAGGGAAGCAAAACAAAGTCCTCATCAGAGAACAGCCAAGAAGCAGTGGAGCCAACACATATTAGAAACAAGACCCAGAGACACGCAAGGCCCACACTCTGGAATGCATGTGCCCACGGCAAGGCTCTGGCCGGCCACTCGCAGCCCTGCTGAAGCTCACTGCCCAGCCACTCGCTGGCCGCCAGCTGAAGTAGGCAAGGCAGCTCCCTGCCCACTTCAGTGCCAATGGGCATTGGTGGGCAACAGGCCAGGACCATGGGCTGCAGGTCTGGCAGCCAAGAGTGGGCACCCATGCCCTCACCTTAAGAAGTCAGCAGGCCCCTGGGATACCTGCAGCCCAGGCAAGCTGGACCAAGGAAATGCAGGGTGCCTCATGAGATTGGGAAAGGGGTGACCAAGGAGTAAGTAGGTCACGACTGCAAAAGAGTGGCAGCTTCCATGGGCCATAAAATGAGCCATGAAATTAACATCCCTCACCGTCCACCTGGCTGCCTAGCTTAAAGAAATAATTAACTGCCAAGGGATTCCAGCAAGCCAGCAAACTGCAGGTGTTATCTCCAGATCAAATCGAGGCTGGTCCCAGGGATCTCAACTCTTGCCTTGAGACTCTCCAGTAAGCCATGGTGCACAGACTAAGTGTTTGTTCCACAGGCCTCTTCATTTCACATTTGGGAAAACTGAGGCCCAGAACAAAGAAGTCCCACCACAGGCTAAGGCAGACCCAGAACCAGACCCAACTCTGGCAGAGCTTCCGAACCCCACTACCCCACATGACTGCTCACAACAGGGCTCCAGTGTATAAAGAGGTCACTGGATTTCCACTGAGAGAGGAGTGTAAACATCTGCATCTACACAGGACACAGCCTCTCTCGATGGCTTTAGGGGGCATTTTTAAAAGTCCCTTGAAGCCGGGCTTGGTGGCTCAGCCTGTAATCCTGCGCCTTTGGGAGGCTGAGGTGAGTGGATTGCCTGAGCCCGTGGGTTCAAGACCTGCCTGGGCAGCAAGACCTCATCTCTACAATAAATCAAAAAATCAGCCGGGCGTGGTAGTGCATGCCTGTAATTCCGGCTACTCGGAAGGCTGAGGAGGAAGGATCGCCGAAGCCCAGCATGTCGAGGCTGCGGTGGCCGGGAGCGGCCACTGCACTCCAGTCTGGGTGACAGAGTGAGACTCCAACTCAAAAAAAAAATTCCCTTGAGGGAAAAATGGCACAACTGTTTTGAAGGTAAAATAACCCCAGTAGTTATTCCACAGTCCACTGAGGACAACTTAAATTTCATACTTTTATAACAAGTAGGCAGAAAATACCTGAAGTAACTGTCTGATTTCAGCTTAAAGAAAAAGTAAGACAGAAAAAAAAAATCCCAAACCTGCATCTGCTCCAATAACCCAGTCAAGGTCTGCAGCCAGGTCATGGTTTGGATGTACTGTTCCGTGTTCATGATCTTGAGCTCAGATCTCAGCTCAGGGATGATGGCGCCTGTCCTCCAGCCGTGCTTCAGGGTCAGGTCCTGGGTACAGAGATCACACCAAGTCAACGGAACTGTGTGCTTCAGTACTGGCCCAGACACAACAGGCAGTCATGTAATTACTTTTTTTATTATAATGGTTAGCTATTAACCAAGCTGAACTCAATGAATGACATTTAATTACAGCCAATTTGGCCCCAGGCTTCAAGCATTTCACCCCAAGACAGTTTCTGTTCTGGAAACAATTGCTGTGGATCACAACCCTGCATAAACACTGGGCCTGGAATCATTAACCACAGCTTGTAACAAAACAAATGAGGTCAGGGGCAGAAAGAGGCTTGATGGAAGACCATCTAAGGTCTCCGCTTCACTCGCCTGTGGTCATCTGTGTGCCAGGCCTGCTGGGTGGAGAGGAACTAGGAAGTCTCAGACTCAGGACGACAATTATACAACAAAAGCACACATGATCACACTTCCCATTCCAAATACTGTGACCCCAGATTTGACAACAGGCCAGAATATCTAGCATTAGTTATACCCTGGAAGATATGTTACCTGGTCACCATTCTAAATGGTCACTCATTTTCTCAAGCGGCAAATATTTGTCAGCCCTATAACTTGCCAGTCCCTGTTTTAGATACTCAGGATAAAGCAATCAACAAAAACTGACATCATGGAAGACAGAGACAAGAAGTAACTAAGTAAATACACAGGGGCAGGTGCTGGTAAATACAGTGGGCAAAAATCAAGCAGAATAAGGGAGAGAGAGGCGTGCAGGCAGGGAGGTTACCACTGAGCAGGTCATTAGGAGACCAGGGGCATTGAGCAGAGATCTAAAGGAAGGAGGGTGAAAGAACGCCAACGTGTGGGAGAAGACACTGGTTGAAGGAGTGAGTGCAAAGGCCTGGAATGGGAACACACGGGGAGGCAGGGCACTGAGGAGCCGCCAGTCAGGGAACCCAGAGACACGCGGAGAGAGGGGCCTTTGGCGGGTAAGCTGGAAAGAAGAAACCAAGCAGGCAGCTGAAGGAAGCCAGCCTTTCACTCCGAGGGGTTTCAAGGAAAGAAACGGCGTCTGGTTTATAGTTTTAAAGGTTCAACCTGGCTCCCACATACAGCTAGAATCCTAAGCCCAGGTAAGGCCTCGGGGGTCTACCTTCTTCACCAGCTCCTTTTCTTCAAGCCTTTCAATATTCCTCTTTCTCCTACTGTGCATGAAAACCTACAGCACACTCTTTTAAATGCCCTCAGTGGTGGCAAACTTTCAAAGGTGGATTTTATTTACGCTTTTTGATGCACTGATAAAAGGAAAACACTGGCGTTTATTTCTTATTATTTAAATGGAAAGACTGCTCTGATAAACTCTGAGTAAACTGATAATTTCCATCATTTTCCAAATAATTTATCTTTTTCACAACTCTAATCCATCCTGTTCGGTAAAAAAATGTGACATTAAAAAACGCAAACCGGCTGGGCTCGGTGGCTCAGCCTGTAATCCCAGCACTATGGGAGGCTGAGGTGAGTGGATTGCCTGAGCCCGTAGGTTCAAGACCCACCCGGGCAACTTGGCGAGACCTCATCTCTACACTAAAGCAAAAACTAGCCAGGCAAGATAGCGCAAGCCTGTAGTTCCGGCTACTTGGAAGGCTGAAGCAGAAGGATCGCCAGAGCCTAGCAGGTTGAGGCTGAGGTGGCCGTGCACTCCAGCCTGGGTGACAGAGTGAGACTCCAACTCAAAAAAAAAATGTAAACTATTCCTAGTTTTTATGAAAGCACAAAAATGACCTTAAACAAAAGAGAAATACCATAATATGTGAGATTAACGTGTATATTCCCCAACAAAGAAGGGGAAAAAAAAAGCCTCTCACCGCCAGGTCACTGTATATATGGTCACCAAAATACAACACTTTGGATCCTCTCCATCCTGTAAGCTTCAAAAATTCATATAAATTACCCTGCAATAAGAAAAATACTGATATTATATCATATGACAGATAGAGACCTGTATAACCCACAGTATAAAATATCTATTTTCAATTTTATAATTTATTTTAAGTATCAGATAAAAATAAAAAAGCACCTTCATGAGAAATCTTTCTATGTCAACTGTACTTTTCAAGTATTCATATTGTATCTACCTCTCTGCAACTCTTTCTATACTTAACATGCCATGATCATCTTTCCAAGTAGGCACACATTAATCTGTCATATAATTACAGTAACTGGGAAGTACCATGATTCATTTTACCAATTCCCTGATGCTGGTAGTTTATATTATCTATTTTGTAAATATCTTTATAATAAACATTCTTGTAGCAAAGTCTTATTGGCTACATCTTAAAAATTTTCTTAGGCCAACTTTCTAGAAGTGGAATAGCTGTATCAAAGCTCATTTTTCAAGGCCTAGAAAATGTACTTATTGCCAAATCCAGCAGATTGCTATATTGCTGCCAAGAATATATCAGTATTCTAAAGAAACTAACTTCAGTAGCATAATGGTCAGCAATTTAATCATTCATTCAAATATTTGAAAGTCTTGTATGATGTCAAAACACATTAAAACTGTACATAAAACATGTACTATCAGAAAATAATTACTAACTTGGGTGAATAATATGCCATGATAAATGTTCCTAGAAGAGAAATTCCTAGCCGGGCTCGGTGGCTCAGCCTGTAATCCTGTGCCTTGGGAGGCTGAGGTGAGTGGACTGCCTGAGCCCACGGGTTTGAGACCCACCTGGGCAACTTGGTGAGACCTCATCTCTATAATAAATAAAAAAATTAGCTGGGTGTGGTAGCACGCGCCTGTAGTTCCAGCTACTTGGAAAGCTGAGGTGGAAGGATCGCCAGAGCCCAGCAGTTCGAGGCTGCGGTGGCCGGGAGTGGCCACTGCACTCCAGTCTAAGCGACTGAGTGAGACTCCAACTCAAAAAAAAAAAAAAAAAAAGAAGAGAAATTCCGGAAGTGTACTACTGGCATCTTAAATTTTATATACTATAAAAGTAATATTATAATTTTGTTTTGAAAAACTGTTCAGGCCAGGCACAGTCACTTACACCTATAATCCTAGTACTTTGGGAGGCCGAGGTGGGAAGATCACTTGAGACCAGGAGTTCAAGACCAGCCTGAGCAACATAGCGAGATCCCACACTTACAAAAATAAAAATTTAAAAATTAGTCAGACATGATGGTGCACATCTGTAGTCTCAGCTACTCAGGAGGATGAGGTAGGAGGATCACCAGAGTCAAGGAGTTCAAAGTTTCAGTGAGCGATAATCAAGCCACTGCACTTCAGCCTAGGCAACAGAGCAAGACCCTGTCTCTAAATAAGTTTTAAAAAAAAAATTTTTTTTTAATTTTATTTTTTGAGTTGGAGTCTCACTCATGTCACCCAGGTTGGAGTGTGATGGCCGGCTCATGGCCAATTGCCACCTCAACCTGCTGGGCTTAGGTGCTTCCACTTCAGCCATTTAAGCAGTTGGAACTACAGACGCACGCCACCACGCCTAGCTATTTTTTTAAGGTTTTAAAAGCTGCTTGGTGTTGATTAAGTTTATAAGGGGGTACACACTATAAAACCAGAATTTATTTAAAAACTGTGTATTTATTCATATATGCTTAAACTTCAGTCATCTTCAAAGTTCTCCTCGTTTGATGCAATACATGTATTGAGATGTTTTCTCCATTGCTCAAAACAGCTTTTAAACTCATCCGTTTTGATGACTTTTAGTGCTTCTGCCACTTTTTGTTTCACCTCTTCCACACAGGCAAAATGTTTCCCTTTGAGGGCTTTTTCATCCAGAAACACACAAAAAAGTCCCTCAGGGTGAATAGAGAGGGTGGGTTTTTTTGTTGTTGTTAAAAATTGCTGAACACTCAGCTCAGTGTGGGCAGGTACTCTTCTAAATCACCCATCACAAAGTGGGCAAAGAGTCTGAAAGAACCTCCAAAAACAAGAAATTCACTGAAGCCAAACGCAGCCTCTCACAACAACGCTAGCTGGTACGCTGATGCTGATAGATTTCTAAAAAACTTACCTAGTGAGGCGAAAGCATGTACTACAAAGGCTCTTCCCTCCAAAAAATTCCAGTTTGGGGGGGCTCCTCCCCTCAAAGATACTAATAGACTGAAAATACAGAGAGTGCCAAAAACATGTATACATATTTTAAGAAAGGAAAAACCTGTACTAAAACCGTAACACTCAATATATACCAGTAACAAAAGATGAATACAGAGGTGTTCAAAGTGGTTACCATCAGCATCCAGACACTTCTGATTACAGCAAACTAAAAGTAACGCATAGACAACATCTCTTAAAATGTGTATGTATATTTTTGGCACCCCCGGTATATTGACGTAACTCTAAGTTTACCACCAAGCTATGAACAGTCAGTTCAAGAGAAGCTGTCGGAACTGCTGGGCACACACTGAGCCTCAGTGAACGTCAGCCATTAGCATGATTACTGACCACAAAGGAAAGCAACAAAAAAAGGTGACCTGGTCATGAGATACCTGCTTGTAAATCTGGCCCTTCTGCAACTTGTGGATTTTATCCCAGAGTAAGACACCTTTCTCATTCACCTTCCGGAAAGGTCTAACAACAGAAATGGGAAACATTACGACATGTGGATACTTTAGGCTGTCAGCTACAAAACACTACATGGCTACACATAACAGCAGGAAGTGGCTCCCTCCAGACCTGAAAACCCCTGAATCCGAAACCCCACCACCACATTCCCTGGCCTGGTGCATTGCACCCCAAACTAGGCGAATGCCCGGGATCCAGGGTTTCATGAAAAAGGAATTCCAGGGACATGAAAATTTGGAAAACACTGGGTCTATGTCCTTCTTAAAAAGTTACTGATGGCTCTGAAAAGTCCTGCTGTAAAGAAATTCCTTTCACCCAGATTTACCAAATTTATTTGACCATACAGAAAACCTCTGTTTCTGAAGAAAAGTTTGTGGAAATACTGTCTGAGTACATTTATCTGGTTTTAAAAAATCAGAGGAACAGGAGCACTCATTTCTGATAGCAAAGGGAGGTAGGAAGAAGGCCTCACTGCTCACACATGGAGGGTGCCAAGGGACTCAGGGTTTGTGTGCCTTACAGTAACAGTAAGGGTTACCTTAAAAAAAAAAAGGTAATTTTAATACGTAACTGTTTTTCTGATTAGAAAAATATAAACTCACTGCAGAAAATGCAGAAAATGTGGAAAGTGCAGAAAAATACAATGAATAAAAGCAAAGTGATCCATAATTTCGATACACAGTGTTCCCATGAACACTTAACACTTCATACGTGTCTTTCAGTTTCTATATAAAAATCTTTGTTCTTTTTTATAAACCTAAAATGATATCACTTTGTATATAGTAATTTATCTTTTTTCTCTAATATTGTAATCAATTTTTCCTGTTATTACATATCCTTAAATGTATCGTTTTTACAGCAATAAAACATGCTCATTGCTACATTTTTTTTTTTTTTTTTTGAGTTGGACTCTCACTCTGTCACCCAGACTGGAGTGCAGTGGCCACTCCAGCCTCGACCTGCTGGGCTCCAGTGATCCTTCCGCCTCAGCCTTCCGAGTTGCTAGAACTACAGGCACGCGCTACCACGCCCGGCTAATTTTTGATTTATTGTAGAGATGAGGTCTCGCCAAGTTGCCCAGACGGGTCTCAAACCCACGGGCTCAGGCAATCCACTCACCTCAGCCTCCCAAAGCGTGGGATTACGGGCTGAGCCACTGAGCCCGGCTGCTCATTGCTATTTTTAGTAGCTGCATAATATACCCTTCACTGTGGGACCTTTGGGTTGTTTCTGACATCTCATTAATATAAATAACACAAAGCTGAGCACCGATGGAGGATTACTCCACTCTTAGTCTAGGTTTCCTGAACAAAGACAAAATAGACGTGTGCACCATCCCCACCTTAGGGGAAAGAGTCCAGGACCCTGCCCCCTCCACTGTATAAACACATGACAGACGGAAGGGAGGTCAGGGTAAAAGGAGTGAGGAGGGTCCTTCTGACCACACCCCGGTATCTCCTAAGAAAATGCACGAGGGTGAGCCAGGCTCGGTGGCTCAGCCTGTAATCCCGCACCTTGGGAGGCTGAGGTGAGTGGATTGCCTGAG